GATGTGGAAGCTCTTTAAGGGGGAACGCCTAAAAAACCCTGTTAACCTACACTCAAAGAAAAATGAAACGGTGCTTATTTTTCTCAGAAGCACCGTTTCATTTTCCTTTTAACCAAAAGCAGAATACAAATGGTAGTTACCAAAGGTTCGTTTTGCTTTTCTGGTTCTAAGAAATGAGAAAAGCAAAAAACAAAAATATACATTTTGGGTAGCACAAAAGCAGGAAATGGAAACGTCAGAAACGGTTTGATCTGATTTTTGAACAAGAGAAAAGCAGATGTCCACTTTTTCTCCCTCCAGCAAGGGAGGAAAAGCAAAATCTGCATTTCAGGTAGCATAAAAGCACTACAGTGGATTTTATTAAACAGTAAATTCTGCATTTATGGTAGCACAAAGGCGGGAAAGCAGAACAAAATGAACCATTCAAAAAATACTCAATCTGCTATTCTGACAGCAGAAACGCAGATGTCCACGTTTTGTCCTCGATGACTACATGAACAGTCCTGTTCATTTCAGAATGGTAAATAGTGCCCTCTTCTCACCATCTAGTTTGCAAGTTGTCCTTCAATACCCATTTGTTGTTCCAAACATTTGTGTCAAGCTTGTTATTCCAATTAACTATGCACAAAAAGTACATGTATTGGGGTCATGTCCTGCATGTTGTTCTAATGTAGGAGAGATGTACAAAGTAGTGTATGCAATGAAGTCACATGTATTCTACCATACAATCTTATATTGGTGTCCAATATCAATAGGTCTCATTCAAATGACGTCATTTCCTACAGACCAGCCACATGCATCAACATTTTGAGCATCAACTGAATAACGCACATCGGCTGTGTCGTATTTCAAACACATTTCAAGCAAGAAGCGCGTGTGTTTGGAACATTTTTAACACTGCGCAATGCGTGCTTGATTGCGTAAAATAAGCAATCAAGAGATGACCGTCATTGAGTGAGCCCTATTGATATGCTTGGCAGTAAGGATTGAACAGAGAGATTATTTTATGCAACTGTTAATATCTTTTGGAATTTTTGCAGTGAAATACTTTTTAAAATAAGTTGGCTATTTTAAGGACTTTATTTTTATGGTGAAGGATTTTGGAATTAAATGTAGAATATTAAAAGGATCTATGCAAGCTTTCAGAACAAATTTGTGATTGGCATTCAAGCGCTTTATTTTGTGTGTTCCATGAGTGTGAGTGGGTTTAACAATTCATCTTCCAGCACACTTCATGCACAGTTACGTGCACGCTGTCGTCACGTTTCAGCTTTCATCTACCACATACGTACGTGCAGCAAGCGTCTTGCGTTGTGTGGTGCAGTGTGGCCCATTATGGGATAATAACACTGTTGTTGCCATCAGGCATGCAATTTTTCCTTGGATCTGCTGATTTCCTTCTTTCTTTTCTTCTCATGAATGCCATTACAATTTTTGAAAAATACTGTACAAAGGCTTGTGTGGTTTGGAATTTCCTCCTTTTCTTGTAAATTTTGAGTTGCATGCCTGTTTCATGTATCAACCTATCAGTATAAGAATTCAAATTTGGTTGAAGATAAGCACATATGTACAACATACATGTCTGTTAGTTTGTTACACACAGTGCCACCGTGTTGAATGTTTTGACCAATCAAGAAATCACTAATAGAAGCCACAGTTGAGCCAATACCAGGCATGTATGCACGAGGGGGGGGGGGGGGGTAAAGACACCAGACCAACATATAATTGGGTAAGACTTGCAGTTTGACAAACTCAAGGAAGGGGGGGGGGGCTTGATTACATTAGTCTCTGGATGGCACTATTATGTCATTTTTATTCAGTTGAAGCATCATGGTTGCAGGTAATCTTTTAAAGGCAGTGGTGAAAGTAATAGATGAGCCAAATTACTTCACAAAAATATTCAGCAAAAATGTGGATTTTATTTCTTTGTGTGTGTGTGTGTGTGGGGGGGGGGGCGGTTTGCATATGCAGACCTTGATGCCCCTACAAGCCTGTCTAGGTACCAACCTCATAAATATTGCCACATTGCCTATCCCTAATCTATACAATTCAATGTCATGAATGTCAACTGATCAATCTCATGAGCTTCAACTTGAAACAATGTACATAGACCTTCCCAAGACTAGACTGGGGCAACTACCATTGAGCTCTTAATTATACAAATATCAGCTGCTTCAAGTTGAGTGGTAAAACTAGCCTCCTGGGTAGTCCGAGGATCAAACGATCATGTTTACAGAGCCTCACTACGAATGTCTGATATATCCGAACATGCAAATTGTATGCGACCCCACGGGCCAGCCAATCAAAGTTGAGTTTAGATATGTTGACACTAGGGCTGGTTGACCTACGACAGTTGACCCATGTAAAGGGACATAACATGAAATAGCTAGATGGGCGTTTCGAGAAAAAAAAGTGTAGTAAAATTGTTGAACAAAATTGTAAGAAATCTATAAGTTTTAACTTCCTTTGACTTTTGGACCAAAAGTTTAGATTTTTTGACCGAAGAGGTATTTATGAATGGAAATAAATATGTGCTTGGCCGGTATTCTACACTTTGTTTAAGACCGGTTGAGTCTGGATGCTGATAACGACCCTTGCCTTTGGCTCCGGTCAGTATCATCATCCAGACTCCAAGCCGGTGTTGAACAGTGTTTAATATCGACCAACAAGCACACACATTTATTCCCTCATTGAAAAGATTACGATTTCAACTCGAGTCTTTTCTAGTTGAGTCTCAATGACAACTTAAATAATGGAGATATTAAACGCACAAGTGCAAGTCTCACATAATGTTATTTCACTCTTAGGGCCACTGGACATAACATACTAGTAGTACATACGTTACAGAATTCATATATTACATGTACATGCACTCTGTGAAAAGCAAGTCACAATGTGCAACATAAATTGTACCAGACAATAATTCAAACAATCACTCGTTCATTTTTAAAAAGCACATTGTTTGTACTCAGAACCTCTATCTTGACCGAAGAAAATAGACTTAAAACAACTAAATTACTGAACATAATCACAGCATCCATGCATGGGAAGTAGGATAATTTGTACAAAATATAACCATACATTGTTACAATAAACCAAATCTATTCTCACAAAAACATGTGTACATTCATTAGTTTACAGTTTTCGCAGTTAGCAAAAGAATAACTTGGACTACTTTATTGCAACAATTGCAGTTTCTGTAGGACCATGTCAAATAAATAAAGCTACCAGCATAACTGAAATAAAGAATTCAACAAACGCTCCGCCCCCCCCCCCATTTTCCCATTTCTTGTCTTAGGTCCTTTAGTATCAATGTTGACTTTTCCCATCTCAAATGTCTGAAAGCTCAGTTATTAATTCATAAATTGCACATTTTGTAAAAGTAAATGAATATACATAAACAAGTAAAACCATACAATATTTAAACCTTTTTTTTACATTTTGCATAGCAGAAATGATTTCTTTTAAACATAATTTACTGAAACCATTTCCCTATGTGATCACTTTTTTATATAATAAACATCATTTGAAATATATTGTCCAACACAATTAAACTAATAAAGACTTTAAGTATATCGTTTAAACAGGAGGCCTTTTTTTTTTATACAAACCAACATATTTGTCAATATGATTGATGTGTATAGCTAACCTACATTCCACCTGTATTTCTGATTAATGAAATTAATAACAAAAAAGTGATCATTTTATGATCTTTATATTTATCTTAAATGTTTGTGGCAAAGTTGCAAATCACAAGCTAGCAAAGTAAATATCAAACCCTACATCATGTGCCATATACGAAAACCAAACTATAACAGCACAGAAACTAGACACAACTTATCTCTGGATAGCTATACACAATAGGATACAAGCAAAACAATTCTAGCTTTCTCACTCAAAAAGTGCTGGACTTTAGCCCCTTCTTAAAAATATATACGTATATATATCATGGATATTAATGTCCTAAAGAAAAATCTACCTATACTATATTCTGAGTTGTTGAAAAAGTTGGGTTCAATGTGTTAATAACAGTGGTTCAACAGCAAAACTGAATGCGCTTAATACCACATTTTGACTGTTTACCGAGACACAAATGAACAATAGGATGGAAGCTTCCAAGAAGTTACATAAGTTAAATATGAACCAGAGTACGTGGATGTGCAGAAACCATGTCAGATGTTGACAATCATCATGCCGCATCAATCAAGCATGCAGGGACTTGTCTTGTTTTCCTTAAACTTTGCAAAAGCAAGAGAAGAAAACAACGCCCTTACTTGTTCATTGTTATAGTCATAAAGCAATGTGATTGGTCAGGTCAATGACAAAAATGTTTCAGATGTCACTGGGCATATGGAAGATGTTCATATAAAGCTAGAATAAATGCAGTAAGCAAAGCTTTGTCTTGCATAGATCAATGTGCACCTCCACATTCTCATGAGTCACACTTCATATGCCTTCTAGCAGTGTTGCAGTACTCATACTCATACTCCAGTACATTTCGTACTCATGGAAATGTACTTGACTACACCACTGCCTTTTAAGTACAATGTATGCTAATATTGACTGCAATGAGTGGTACAATCAAACGATACCATTGCAAGGTGATCCATACCATATTGTAAGTATATTCTCAAGGAAGTGGAGGGAAAATATAGCACTCCACGGATCACTAAGTGAAACTCTTTTTACTGTACCACACGTTAGAACAGTCAATATTTACTTTGTATAAACACCTCACCTACAGATACACCGACAGCTGATTATATACTCCTAATGCAAGACAATATTTATTCAATTTGTGTGTACTGAAATTCACTTGTTATTGCACTTCTGCAATCTTCCCCTTGACAAAATGTTCACACTGGTGTTGCGCTATCAAGAAATGGTCTGCAAGAGCACCCACATCAACACAGACCTCCAGTTGCAGTGATGTAGTTCTTTAGTTGCTGTGCTTTTAGCACTTTGGGTCATGGACTAGTCTTTTGGACAATAGGCGGTAGTACAGTAACAACAAGTGAAGCTTAAAGCATTATTCATACTTGCATAGGTTTGTCTGGGAAGCAAAAGCAGCTACCCTGCACACACGGCACACGCATGAGGCACGTAAACCAGTCAGTGCTACCAGGACAGAAGTACCCCATAATTAGCTCTGAAACCCTGAGCTATGCAACAATTGCACATGCAAGTCGGGTTGCTAGTGGTACCACACTGCAACCTTCAAGAATGACAGTATATACGCATTTCATGGGAGGGATGTTCCATGGAATTCCAATGAATTTCTTCCAATGGAACTAATGAATTATGTATGGGTGTAACAGAACAAATACAACATGGTTCATTTCGGGTAAGTAGTGTATTACTTGTCCACGTTAGGAGGTATGGTAGTCCACATCAGCCCACCTTGGCACCAGTGATTTCACACTACCTCCTCTCACTCAGTGTAACTTGCCACTACTATTTCTCTGATCATGTTGCAATTTGTACAATACCATCAGCTGACACAATCTATGGGTGAGATGTTTAAGAGACTGGGCTCATGAAGAGCCAGTGCACATGCCTGAGGCTTAATGGCTTGTTACACCAGCGTGGAATTGACCACATCATGAGTCCGAGGTGTCGATATTGCCTGCGGTGCTGAAGGTCTAAGGTAGGTTGGGTGACTTTGTTGCGTCGTGTGCTGAAGACTGAACTGACGGGGTTGCTGCCGGTGCGGTTCTTTCTGGGGAGGGGCATTAATTGTGGCGTTGATTTCCAGGGTCTGTGTACAGGCAGAAATGCAAAGAAAATTATTGTTAAAAAGATTACTTTTTGTTCCAAAATTTCATATTGCAATTCTCAGGCAATTGGGCATGTTTCCAAGTGCATAAACAAAACCTGGAAATGTACATGTACATGCATTTTAATAGCATTCAGGTAAAATGCAACAACATTTTCCACATGAAATCCTCTGTATTACAAAAATACATGACCAATGCACAAACACAAAAACACGTATTTCAAGAAGCAATTAGGAAGAAACTACATTACTGCCATAGAGCTACACTGAATTACTAGAGTGCTGACTCGATGTACAAAGTGATGGCTGATGGGCGCATCCATGTTTGTGCACAAACCTATGGAAAACTCAAACTTTTGTACGGCTATTTGTATCTGCGTTTGTATTCCATACAGGTGTGCTATCAAAGCCGATACACTCAAACTGAAATGCACAGTAAATTGAGTGTTTCATTTGCTCTGCGAAAATGTGTGCGCATATCTGCTGCAGCTGATTTTTGCCGTGACGTTTTTTAACCGTCATAATGCGCTTAACTTGCTTGCGTACATGTATGTAGCACTTGCACGTTGCATTTAGAGTACACTTTCAAAATGCAATCCATCTAATTTCATTATGTTCTACAAACACGAACGTGAATTCAAAATGGCTGTGAGCAAGATGGTATAAAGTATCTCCATCCCAAGCTGGAGATATGATCCCAATTTCAGACCAAAGACCCAGGCAGGGGTAGCTTCCACCGCCGTGACACAAGTTTCACCTCCCCCTTACCCCCCCCCTTCCCTCCCCGATAGACGTCACACGGAAAAGGTTACAGTTACTTAACAAAAACTTCGATGAAAACCGGCGTCTTCTCTCTTCGCAGCATTCAAAAGCTCCCTGTGGCAGAAAAAAAGAGCAAGTATACATTGTAAATTCA